GTTACGGTTCCTCGCTTGGGGTTTTGATTGAAAGTTTTGACTTTGATCTAGCCGTTTTAGAGGCTAAACAAACAGCAAAATAGTACATAAAAAGGAAATCAACTCTTCTATTGAATGATCTTCTTCTATGACTTTGGTCTAGCCCTTTTAGACGCTAAACAAACAGCAAAATAGTACATAAGAAGGAAATCAACTCTTATATTCAAATAATAACTGTACATTCAAGTTATTCAAGTTATTCAAGGTATTCAGGATACAATTTTATAACATTGTTTGTTTTTCTTAAGCAAAGCAGATGATCAAGAGCTATAAAGCCTCACCTTTAGCTAGAGGAAATCAGGGACCTAGTCAAAATAGCGCCGCCAAAACAGCGCCATTCAAAACAGCGCCATTCAAAACAGCGCCCGTACAAAAATAGCGCCGTTCAAAATAGCGCCGCCAAAACAGCGCCGTTCAAAACAGCGCCATTCAAAACAGCGCCCATACAAAAATAGCGCCAAATTGAAAGAGACTGCGATTAGATTAGATTATTTTTCTTTTTCAAGGTTTTAAACTAGCTATTCTAAGTCTAGCTAACTGTAAGTCTAACTTATAAAATTACTATTGTAAAAGTGTACCGCATCTAGTTTGATCCCGTGTTTTGCTGGATCAAATGGAGAGACAAGGGTTCGACTTGGAGCTCGCGCTGGACTGATTGCTTTGGATGGAGTAGGAGTTCGGACAGGACTTGTTGATCGGGTTCTCATCGGATTTCTGAAATAAGAATCTATGATTTGAAAAGAAGACTATTCTTTAGAATATTTCAATACTCACTGCAACTTTTCATCTAAAACGGGATTCCGAATCGTCGTTATGCTCCGACTCAACAAATCGTCACTCGGCGAGCTTCGATTGTTCGGGCTAAGAATTTGGTAGAGGGATAGAGGCTATTCCAATTAACATTCAGACTTACTATCCATATTCCATTGGATATGAATTGAATAGGAATTGAATAGGAATTGAATAAGATTCTAGAATCTTTCTTTAGTAAAATTCTCTCACCCAAAATCAGAGAAGAGATCCCCGGGTGTGCGGATCACTATGGCGGCGATGCATACCTAAAATCTTTCAAAATGCAAGAACTAAAAGGGTTAAAGACAAAGTGATAAAGAGATTTTGTCTTATAAGTAAGACTACCTGTCGATCCACATTGTCACCAGTATCGTAGTAGCCGTGAACGGTGAAGCTAAAGGTATTTATAAGTCTAGAGTTATTTGTCTAACTAGATGCATAGAATTGATTAGATTAGAGAGATTAGATTAGATAGATTAGATTGGAGAGCTTAGGTTAGAGAGCTTAGGTTAGAGAGCTTAGATCGGAGAGCTTAGATTAGATAGATTAGATTAGATTGGAGAGCTTATGTTGGAGAGCTTAGATCGGAGAGCTTAGATTAGATAGATTAGATTGGAGAGCTTAGATTAGAGAGCTTAGATTAGATAGATTAGATTAGAGAGATTAGATTGGAGAGCTTAGATTGGAGAGCTTAGATTAGAGAGATTAGATTAGAGAGCTTAGATTAGAGAGATTAGATTAGAGAGCTTAGATTGGAGAGCTTAGATTAGAGAGCTTAGATTGGAGAGCTTAGATTAGAGAGATTAGATTAGAGAGATTAGATTAGAGAGCTTAGATTGGAGAGCTTAGATTAGAGAGCTTAGATTGGAGAGCTTGATTAGAGAGCTTAGATTAAAGAGCTGATTAGAGAGCTTAGATTGGAGAGCTTAGATTTAGAAGTGAAAAGCACAAGAATCAAATAGTCAGCCTGTATACTTCCAGCTACAGTACACTTGATCTCATCAGTAGAAATACCGTATAAACTCGGCTGGATCTTCACAGTAGAGTGTCTGTCTCTCGCTGATGATTCCATTGACGACGAAGTGAAAAGTCCCCTTGAAATCGTGATTGAAATACAAATGAACACCAAACTCTAATGCTATATTTTGCATCGTTTGCTCTCCCACCGCCTCTCGTTGTCACACCAAAAGCAACAGTGATTGTGCTGGCTGAAAGAAGATTGTAAAACTCTAACTTAAACTAGATAACTTAAACTAGCTTATTAAACTAACGAATGAGTTTTGGATGAACGACCACATCAACTCGACCCACAGTTGCAGCAGACAATAGACGAATGGTCAATGATTGAGGATAGCTTCGTTTTCTGGAACTTTTCAATAAGCTTATTGCTTATTGCATTAGCTTATTGCTTTTAGACGACTAAATATTACTGGAAGAGATGGCAAAAAAAATGACAAGATTGAAATCTCTTACTTGTCCGTCACCCAGCAAACTTTATTGCCGATAATATTGAATTCTTTTAAAGAAGAAATGTATCGCTGCATCTCTTTATCTTCAGATGAACAAGCAACAACTTCATAGTCAATAATACTAGACATTTTTTTTTTGTGAAAAAGTGTTTTTCTAAAAAGAAGCAACTATTTTTGTGTCTCTTTTTCGTCTCCAGCGTCTCCAGGAAGTGAATTGGTGATTAGCTTTTAAAAGCTGCAAGCGGTTGCTAGATTTTATTTATTACTAAATTTAAATTACAAAATTAGACACATTCTATTTTTAAGTTTTGAAAAGAATTTAATTTAATGAGAATTCCTTTAAAGGGGGGAGGGGGTATTAATCGCGGCCGGGTGACCATAAAAAAATTTTTTTACGGTAACCACCTGTTTTTTTAAATTTAATATCGCTGATTTTATTATAAAAAGAATAAAAATCACCCGGCTAGAGTGATTTGATGTATAAATAACAGACAAATTTTGACTAACTCTAAGCTTAAAAAATAGCTTGTAAGCAAGGATTTTGTTTTTTTAACCTTTCAGTTTCAGATACATTAGCATTCAGCGCAAAGAAATATACGAGAAGTTCTTCGCGTCCACGAAACTGATTCAGCTTCTCGTTTTCACATTGCTACCAATTGCCATCAACGTGATTCCAATATGGACTCGTGAGTTGGCAATGTACAGGGTGATCGCTGGGCAATGTCATGGCAATGTACAGGGTGATCTCTGGGCAATGTCATGGCAATGTACAGGATGACCCCTGGGCTGCCTGGGCTTGAGCTTGAGCCTAAGACTGTAGAAATTTACAATCAATGAACCATTTGTAAATGTAAGGATGACTCTAGCCGTGAATCTCTACGCGGATCTGTATACATTTGGCGGTTACATGTATCACACAAATTTCTATCGAATCTATCAGCGAAGAACGATCGTCAGCGTTGGGAAAGGATCCTTTAACCCACAAGACACACACATTTGGGGTAAATGGTCGAAGAAGAGAGTTAAGAATTAACTTTAGATGACCTCGTTTAATGAGAATTCCTTTAAATTACCTTTAGATGATTTTTGTGTCTCTTTTTCGTCTCCAGCGTCTCCAGGAAGTGAATTGGTGATTAGCCTTTAAAAGCTGCTAGCGGTTAAAAATACCGACTGGGGCTACCAGTGGTGAATTTATCGCATACACGAAATATATCAATCACAATACAACGACACACACAATACTAGGCTATATCTTAACTTAACCCACGTCATGACAGACGGCTCCCTAACCCTAAGCTCAATGTGGAACTAAATAGCTTTTTTGGTGGTGAAGGGAAGATGACGATGAAGGAGTGGCTTGTCACTTTAAAGAACTGGGGCCACAACCACCAGACTGCCCTCCCAGAAAACCTCTCAACCCGAAGGGAAAGGAAATCCGAAGGGGGTGACCATGTCGCATGTGGGGTTCGAACCCTCGACCTTCCGATTAAGATAAAAGACACTTAACCAGTCAGCCACACGTGCTCAAATTCCTTTAACTTTTCGTCACCTCACTACTGTAGATAGCTTTTTTATTTAATCACGTTATTGTTAAATGGTCAAATCTTTTAGGAAACTACGGTACGGAATGGACAGACAGACAATGCTTTTTATTGGGTTGGTGAATTGAAAACTGCGGGCTATTGTCATAAGTGGCAGTTTGAGCACTTTCTTCAAAAGAAACCCATTTTGGTGTCAATGGAAAAGTTGTAGAGAATCAAAAATCAAGCTTATATCCAAATTTTGAGAACGATTCAAAACACTGGTTTTCAAGAAATGCCAAATTTACGAATTTTCACAAAACTTGCATTTTAAGCGAAACTACTAAGTGTATCTTTTTGCAAATTTGGCTATAAGGCTAATTTTTGATTCGCTACAACTTTTCTATTGACACCAAAATTGGTTTCTTTTGAAGAAAGTGCTCAAACTGGGCTGACAGCTGACATCTCCAGTCCTCGATTTTTGAGTCTCACACTTGTCTCACACTCAAACCAAAATCCTACTACGAAAGAGGAATCCGCAAATTGCCTGTAAAATAGGCAGAAGTCGTCAATTATAATGGAAATTATTTGGAATGAATTTATGGTTTTATGGCGAATAAATTTTAGTTCAAGTCCCGCAGTTTTCAATTCACCAACCTAATATAAAGAAATTACAAACCCTTAAAGAGTTCCCGTGCCAATGTGCAACATTTCGGGCTTATTGAAATAAAAGCAGAGAATTGTTCCCAATTGATCTTTTTCAATGTATCGTAGACAAGAGTCTCTGCTACAATCTGAAAGGCGACATGCTACAGTGCTAAGGCACCTTCATACCCTTGGATTTAAATCGAAACTTTGGGCTTGGGTGCCCCATGACCTCAATAACCCTCAAAAGTGGCAGCACGCCCTGATCAGTGCCGTCCATCTCTCACAATACAAAAGGAAATCTTTTCTTTCTCGAATTGTGATAGGAAATGAGAATCCGCAAATTGCCTGTAAAATGGGCAGAAGTCGTCAATAATAATGGAATTATTTGGAATAAATTGATTGTTTTATGTTGAATAAATTTTAGTTCAAAGTCCGGCAGTTTTCAATTCACCAACCCAATAATTTGAAATTTATTATAATTGAAGGATTGAAAATGGCGAAGACAAAGGCAAGAATTCAAATCAAATGCTTAAACTTGTAGATTGAGGATGACTGGATCGATGATATTATAGTCGCTCAATGTGTGCCCATCTTCGAGCGCTTCTCCTGAATTCTTTGATTATTTGATTGTCATAGCCGGATTGAAGCATTGAATTTCCGATTAAGAGACAATCCTCCTAAACAGTCGGCTATCTTCTCACTCATTTACCTTTATAGGAAAGCTTTTGTTGTTCTGGTGGATAACCGATTCGATCCTGAAGTTTTCCTTTCACCGTTTCGATTGAATCCGTTGCCTCAACATCGATTCTGTACCGGATATTCGACGTCGTTTTAGCCACAATTCTAAAAATGAATACCATAAGCAATCAAATAGCTTCATAAGAATCATTCTAATATTTTCAAGAGGTCAAAAATGTTTTTGGTTGCATTTTCATTCACTTTTCGACTTCATTAAGCTTTTAAAAGCTTTCATTAAGCCTTTAAAACCCTTTAAAACCCTTTCAAACCCTTTAAAAGCCTTTCAAACCCTTTAAACCCCCTTTAAAACCCTTTCAAACCCTTTCAAACCCTTTAATTAAACCCTTAGCCTTTCAAACCCTCCCCTTAAACCCTTTCAAACCCTTCAACCCTTTCCCTTCAAACCCTTTAAAACCTTTAAACCCTTTAAAACCCTTTCAAACCCTTTCAAACCCTTTAAAGTCTTTTAAAAGTTGATCATTTTGCTATCAAAGTTGACAAATTTCGTCTAAAAAAGCTCTTTTAATGTAATAAATACGATAAATGAATGAAAAACCTACGGAAAAGCATCGACTGCTATGGCTAGCAATAAGAAAATGTAGAATAAATGCATTATAGATCTAAGCAAATGAAAGGATTTGTTCCGATTGTTGCCAACAGTTATAAACAAAGTGCAATGACCTTCAAATTTGAGCCCAGCTTTATTTTAGCTCGAACACTTTTTGTCGTTTCGTTGAAATGAGCTTTTTTTTGGAGAAAACAAGTTCCCAAGTTCCTTTGATCACGAGTAAACAACAATCGAAATCTTTTCTGGACATCGGAGCGAGCACATTGCATCGATCAAAGTTAGCTACCTTTTAAATCATTTGAAAATCGTTCTGAAAACGTTGCAAGGCACAAAATACATTAGATTTAATGATAAATCTTAATTGGACGTCACTGAAAACTCCGTGAGTGAAAATTAGCAGATAAAAGTCGAAAAGTGGCAACCGCTAACCCATTTGACACCTTAAAACACAATTTTTTGTCAATTTTGATCTACAAAGTTGTTTAGCTTTAGCCATTTAAGTTAAAGAAATGCCGGCACTTGGCACTTCTATAACTGGCACTTCTATAACTGGCACTTCTATAACTGGCACTTCTATAACTGGCACTTCTATAACTGGCACTTCTATAACTGGCACTCAAACCTCACTAGTTCAGAATCACTACGACAAGGCGAGAAGATCAGCGTCATGAACAAGCTAAAACAGTTACTGTTTTTGCTATGTTTAAATAACACTTCTATAAGCACTTCTATAACTGGCACTTCTATAACTGGCACTCAAACCTCACTAGTTCAGAATCACTACGACAAGGCGAGAAGATCAGCGTCATGAACAAGCTAAAACAGTTACTGTTTTTTGCTATGTTTAAATAAAGTATAATTGAAACGACCGTTCATTCAAATGTTATTAGGTTGTTCGGATATAAACAAGCGTTGCTGAACTTTTTGTTGTGAGAGAAGCTCGAACCGGATCCATGTCAAACAACGCGTGAACTTCCTCAGCAGTTTTTATATTCAAATTCTACTATTGATGAGCATCTCCACACCATTGGAAAGACGATCAGATGCGGGAAATGGCTTTCTCACGAGCTCAGCGCAAAAAAAGGCTTCACGGGTCGCTATTGCCGGAATCCTCATCCGCCAGATCATGGATGGCTAAAGATCATGGCTTTTTTCATTCTCTCGTTACTGGAGATGAGAAGTGGATCCATTTCGATAATACTATTCGAAAACGGCAATGGCTAGGACTAGGAGAACGGCCAAATCCGACCATAAAACCGGACATTCATGGGAAAAAGGTCATGCTCTCAGTATGGTGGAATAACAAGGGCCTTGTGTATTTCGAGCTTCTACAACCCGGCCAAACAGTCACATCAGACCTCTACAAACAGCAACTCGATCGGGTCAATGAAGCTCTCATTCGTCAAGGAGTAGATAAAGTTCATCCATGACAACGCTAGACCGTTGCAAAAATCACGCAGCAAAAACTGGAGAATCTAGGATGGAAGCTTCTACCACATCCCCCGTATTCTCCCGGTTTGGCTCCCTCCGATTACCATTTATTCCAGTCGATGGAATCAATAATAATGGTGAAACCTTTTGGCTAATGAGAAATTCAAAACCCGTGAAGATATCCAAAATTGGGTCGCCAAGTTTTTCGAGTCATAGCCGGCTGAGTTTTTCAAGATTGGCATCAATTCTTTGTGCAGAAGATGGCAAGAAGTAATCAATAATAATGGTGAATATATTTTGGATTAAACTGTGTTGTTTCTGGTTTTAAGATAAATTTTGTCGACTACTAAAACGCTCGTTTATATCCGAACAACCTAATAAACTGTGTACTCAGTGGTTAAATGATTTATCGAAGAAAAACTGGTAAATGTTATATTTTTGTGCATCGTCAATAAATGTCACTTTGTAGATTCGATCATTTCTCGATCATTTTTGGATCTTCTAGATCAAAAGTAATCATCCATTTGAATTCGATGCTGCTGTTCGACTGGAGATTACAGACTTACCGAACAGACAGAGTAAGCACAATTAATCACAAATCGGAAAGTATCGAAATGAGAAAAGAAATGTTGGTCCGTTGAGATGACAACCAACGACAAACACATCACTGATTACTCCTTTTGGCTTTCCGAAAAGGCTTTCCGAAAGGTTGAATGCTCATCTCTCTTTTTCACAATCCTCCAATTAAAATAAATGATGATCAAGCTGAAAAAAAGTCATTCGAATTTTGTTTTTATTCAAGAAAAAAACCTTTGCAAGCAACCACGCCTGCAATCAACGCACCCGTGTAGATGGCAGAGGACCCATCTGTGGCCAGCCCGTTCTCGATCACGTTGTTGAAGATGCTCATTGCAATCACGCTCACCAGGGAAACAACCATATTCATCAAGTTAATGCAAATCATCTAGAAGTCTCTTCTTTGCACAGGGATTTGCTGATCAAATCATATGAGCCAGACATATGAGCCACCGTTTATTCGACGCAAAATTTCCCGCTGATTCCGAATCTGCTTTCCGTTTCTGATATGGATCCCTCTATCAAAAGATCTACGCGTTTAAAGTTTTTGCGGGGAGTTTTAAAAATGAAAACACCCCAATACAGCCCTGTCTTTCGTAAGCCAACCGGTTACAGCTTTGGTAGTGACGCAAAGCGTAGGGTGAGGCCAAGGCAGGAGACGAAAGGCCATGGGAATGAAGCTCTAGTCCCCTAGCCGAATGTCTCTTCTTTTTCAGGCCTTAATGCCTTAAGCATTAGTTGAATTCATTTAATGCTTCAGTTATCCCCTCCCTCTGTCCCCTCATTTAATGCTTTGGTTATCCCCTTACACTCTGGTTTTCTATTGGAATAGTTATGATAAGCTGTTTCTTTAAATCAAAGGTCGACTCAATGGGGCGAATGTCTCAGGACCTGACTCAACCTTTAGCCGAGCCCGAAAAGGCATTTGGAAGCTTTTCCCCGGTGCTTCAAATTCATGGAAAAGTGAGCTTCATGGCAAGAACTCGTTTTGTGGAATGTGGATCAAGAAAATCCTAGTGAATGGCGGCTTAACGTTGAGCCGGGCCACTGGCTCCATTGCTCTGGCTCTATTGCTCTGGCTCCATTGCTCTGGCTCCATTGCTCTGGCTCAATTGCTCTGGCTCCCTTGGAAGAGGGGGGCTGCTCTGGCTTCATTGCTTTAACTCCATTGTTCTAACTCCATTGCTCTAACTCCATTGCTCTAACGGGGCTGCTCCCCCCCCATTGCTCAAATCAGCCTCAGAACAATTCTATTCCCAATGGCAACTTCGATTACCCGAGTTTGTTTTGAAACATTTATATGGTAACTGTTTGGTCTAACCGAACTAACTGATTGGTCAAATGCAACCAAATTTTATTAGGATCTGTCCAATCTAGTGCAATCACCTGAATCGAGAATCCCTCTTCGGCTTTTGAGCTTTCTCTTATCCACTCCGTCAGTTCCCTGAACCAAACTATTGCCGGGGTCCAGCTTCACGGTGATAGAGAAAGTTTTGAAAAAGAAATAAGAGAAGTGGTAGATCAAAACAAGCATTCAAAATGGGTTATAGAGGCTTTGATGGGGTTCAAACCGCCTCTCGTTGTCTCATCCAGGTGATCAGCTCGACAATGGGGGACTAAAGGCATACACTTAATAAGATGTAAAAATGAACGGTCACGAGATCATCTAAAGTTAATTCTTAACTCTCTTCTTCGACCATTTACCCCAAATGTGTTATTGTCTTGTGGGTTAAAGGATCCTTTCCCAACAATGACGATCGTTCTTCGCTGATAGATTCGATAGAAATTTATTATTGATATATGTAACCGCCAAATGTATACAGATCCGCGTACAGAATTCACGGCTAGAGTCATCCTTACATTTACAAATGGTTCAGCGATTGCCAATTTCTACAGTCATGAGCTCAAGCTCAAGCCCAGAGCAGCCCAGGGGTCATCCTGTAAATTGCCATGACATTGCCCAGAGATCACCCTGTACATTGCCATGACATTGCCAGAGATCACCCTGTACATTGCCGCCAGCGTTGCCAGCGGTTACCCTGTACATTGCCAACTCACGAGTCCATATTGGAATCACGTTGATGGCAATTGGTAGCAATAATGAAAACGAGGAACTGAATCAGTTTCGTGGACGCGAAGGAGCTTCTCGTGTATTTCTTTGCGCTGAATGCTAATGTATCTGAAACTGAAAGGTTAAAAAAACAAAATCACTTGCTTACAGAAAGCTATTTTTTTAAGCTTATGGCTAGTAAAGATCTGTCTATTATTAGCTTATAGCTAGTACAAATCTGTCTATGATTAGCTTATAAGTTAATTAAAATCCAGCTAACCATCTGAAAATGAATAGAAAACAAGATGCTTCGTCAAATTAGCTTTTCGATTATTAGGAGCAGACTCTCCTTCCCCCTTCTGATAACAGTCAAATTCCCTCAACCCACACTCTTCTCTAAAACAAACCGATTAACCGAGATAGCCGTTTCGAGCCATTGCACCGAATAGCCGATGGAAATGTAGGATGTGCTGATGATTTGATTGAGCATCCCTCCACTCCATGGATAACCGATAGAGCTGAGACAATGAGGTCTGAAAAGTTGGGGGTTAAACTCTGAACTCCTAGGTGAGATTAGGCACTTGTTATCGTAGCCAAACTCGACGGTACAGCTCGCAAAGTAGAGCTCGGCAAAGGCCACGCGTTGCACGCAGAGTGCAATCGACGAGAAGCAGATAGCGCTGCAGTGACGCCACATTGGGGTTCCTTCGAATCGCTCGAATTGCAAGCAAATTCACCCAGATTGTCGTTTGGCTCAACTGAAAACGTTTGGCTCAACGTTTGGCTCAACGTTTGGTTCAACGTTTGGCTCAACGTTTGGCTCAACGTTTGGTTCAACGTTTGGCTCAACGTTTGGCTCAGCATCGGTTTGGCGCAGATTCGGATGAAACTCAAAACGATCCGCGACAGCAAATCTGATCGTGAAAAAATAGCGGTTGAAGATCTTAGATTATCTTGTAGTAACCTAAACGTTTGTTGTGTGCGAAATCGAAAGAATTCATATATTTCCCGAAATTCAGTTTTCCACGCTTTGGCGTAGTAACATTTATGAGTTAAATGTAGTTCTATTTGAGATTGAATCCCTTGGCCAGGGATTTCATGTCGAAGTGGAGGTAGAAACGGCGATTGATGAATTACGATCGATAAAAGAAAAAAAAAAAATGAACTCAGTAAATTGAACTCAAATATTTCGATATGAGGCCGATATTTACACGTTTACCACCTGTAATTTGGTAATTAGAGGAAAGACTTTTGGCCTTTCCCCTCCCTCCACGTGAGAACACAAAAACCGTAAATCAAACTGTAAATCAGAGCAATGTTGAGGCGAAAACGGAGAGTATTCCCCCCACAAAAAAAAAAAAAAAAAAAAAAAAAAAAAAAAAAAAAAAAAAAAAAAAAAAAAAAAAAAAAAAAAAAAAAAAAAAAAAAAAAAAAAAAAAAAAAAAAAAAAAAAAAAAAAAAAAAAAAAAAAAAAAAAAAAAAAAAAAAAAAAAAAAAAAAAAAAAAAAAAAAAAAAAAAAAAAAAAAAAAAAAAAAAAAAAAAAAAAAAAAAAAAAAAAAAAAAAAAAAAAAAAAAAAAAAAAAAAAAAAAAAAAAAAAAAAAAAAAAAAAAAAAAAAAAAAAAAAAAAAAAAAAAAAAAAAAAAAAAAAAAAAAAAAAAAAAAAAAAAAAAAAAAAAAAAAAAAAAAAAAAAAAAAAAAAAAAAAAAAAAAAAAAAAAAAAAAAAAAAAAAAAAAAAAAAAAAAAAAAAAAAAAAAAAAAAAAAAAAAAAAAAAAAAAAAAAAAAAAAAAAAAAAAAAAAAAAAAAAAAAAAAAAAAAAAAAGGGGGGGGGGGGGGAAAAAAAAAAAAAAAAATTCCTTTTTTTATCAAAAGCTCAAATACAGGGTGCGTCATAATTATTGCAACAAGATACTCAAGGCATTGCACACCAAGAAGTTTCACTGGAAGAAGATTTTCAAACAGAAATAAGCTTTGTCCAACAGTAACAAATAAGGAAACAAGAGATCATTCGATATGACCGCCTTTTGCCTTGATAACAAAAAATAATAGTGGTTCAAGGATATGCCTCCCCCGCGGCCCGGGTGTCATCTTGAGGAATCGCCTTCCATCCTTTGGTCAAAAAGACTTCTTCAAAGAATCCAAACTTGTGTGTTTTCGAGGACAGACATTAGCCTCTAAGATTGCCCAAATGGAAAAGTCCATCAATTGAGATCCGGTGAGTTTTGGAGGCCATTCATCCTTGGTGATCACTGAGGGAAAGTTGGCCACACACCAGTCCTGAACCGTCTTCTTCGTGTCAGCGGGAGGCAATTAGGCAAGAATAAAGAAGATCCAGACACGCAACACAACAAAAGAAGAGCCAAAAAACAATAAAAAAGCTGTTTGGGAAAACGGATCTTTTGAACTCTTGTTACCGTATTTATGACGCACCCTGTATAATAGAGAAACAAATTATGAAACGGATCATGTTCTGACAGATTTATTCCTTTACTTCGCGTTCTTTTACTCATTTGTAAATACAATTCTTTTGTATTCGCTTTTTTCGGGATAAAATCACAATTGGATTGGCGAGCAGCCATTGTTCGACTCTCGTAGAATCACAAATCGGTGATGGATCTCACAGGATAGCAAATTTCACGGCTTTTGCCTAATCAGACAGCTTCAGAAACAATCAAACGCCACAAAGAGACACAGGAAATTGGAAGATTGATCTGGACGAAACCAGCAATCCAATCAACAATTTGTCCAACAAACCAATCAAACGTCGAAAGATCTTTCAACATTGAAAGATCTTTCGCATCTGAGATCACAGAAAAACTGGCTGCTGGGGATGGAATGGAGAAAAGATGGCTGCTGCAATTGGAATCTCAAAAAGACCACTGAATTCTCAAAAAAAACACGGAATTTTGGTAAAAGTAACCGGACATTACTTAAACGATCAAGATGAAGAGAGAGTCGAGTCAAAAGAGAGTCGACCGTTGCAAGAACAGGACGATCACGATCTCACGATGAAAGTGGGTTTACAATCGATACTCATAACCATCAAAACGATAGGACTTGGTCAAAAGAACTTGCTTGATCAGCGTATCTCACGACCGAAACCTCAGCAAGTTATCGGGAAGAGGCCTCTGATTTCCCAGCTGGAGTCAAAGACAAAGATCATCCAACATGTTAAAACAGAAATTTTCAAATAGAGTCAACAGCACTTCGGAAATAAGCCAGTATCTCAGCAGGATGGAATAATGCTCGGGGTGAAACGCAAAAAATTTTCCTGATTCGATCACAGTTGACATAAGCGCAGTAAAACCAGGAGAATGGCCAGTTTAGATATCTTTTGGATTACAGCATTTAGTCGATCTTGTAGTTGAACTGTGGAGATGGCTTGTATCCATTCAATTTTTCACTTTAATTTGATGTTTCGGGAAATTACTGGGCTGCAGTGGGTCACACTTCGACATTTACCATTTCCCCGCACAGAGGAATTTTCGTAACGACGTGCAAAACAACAAAAATATTTCAATAACTGTAAAAGTTCCTTGTTTTTTGCACTCTTTCTCATAAACAACTGTAGAAAAAAGAAAAGAAATTTATTGAGCTAAGTCATTTACTGGAAAATTTCCAGAGCTGATCGTGTTGATTGATGTCATTTGTCAGCTCTCTCGTCTCCGGATTTTCGATTGAACATTATGATTACGAGGCTAAAGAAAAAGAAGAATTTATTAGTTATTTATTAGTTTATTAGATTGGTTTATGGTTGGTTAGGCACAGAAATTGGTGATTTCTAGGGCTAAAAGTAAACTAATTTATGTCATTTTCATTAACATGGCCTTTTTTTCGTAAAAAGTTCAGAAATATCTATTCTACGTGTTTCTACAAGCTTGTAGTTTGTAGCGTCCATTTCTAGCTTTGTACTTGTAGTTTGTAGCGTTCATCTCTAGCTTTGTACGTGTAGTTTGTAGCTATCATTTCTAGCTTTGTACTTGTAGTTTGTATCGTTCATTTCTAGCAAGTTTGTACTTGTAGTTTGTAGCGTCCATCTCTAGCTTTGTACTTGTAGTTTGTAGCGTGCATCTGGCAAGTACCGACTCACCTCTGTAATAAGCCCTCAGCCCACCCTGTGGCGGCAACAATAGAGAAATACTGAGCCAGTGTCGAGCCGTTCTGTTGCAAAGACGAGTCGGATGGAGTGGCGGTCAAGAAGATCTTCGACCAATCAAACACGTTGATCGTGTGAGTGAGCATCATCTGAAAGTCGATCATTCGATCGATGCCTGTTTCACTCAAAAAAAAGCTTTTAAAGGCTCTTAAAAGCTCTTAAAAGCTCTATAAAAAAGTCGAGATCTCGCAAAACCTTTACCTGAGCCGAAAGTCGGATATCGGTGCGCATTTGTGCAAAATCAGTCTTGCTCGATTTCATTTGTCGATGAACTTTACGCAACGTGAACACGTCGACGCTCACAGCGATTAGACAAAGTGCGAAGAGTATCCACAAGTTGCTGATGATGAAGGTGTCTGCAAGGTTTCATTTCAGAAACTCCCAACTCTCTTTCCTCTCAAAAACTTGCCAACAAATATCCCGAATCATCTCTCATAAACGCCATAAATGTTCTGTGTTATACAGGTAACCGGGCAGAGTGTAGGGGTCAGCCTCGGCATCCAACGGAATCACTGATTTTCTCTTTTTTTTTCATTGTTGAGTATATAGTAAGATGGTGAATTCATAAAGTACGATAAAATACTAAATCCGATCGCCCCTAACTTACCTAGTTTGTACATAAATAAATGAACATTCAAAAATTCTTGGTTTCTCCTATGAACTTGACACGACAAATCTTGTACTCACCCGGAAGACATGTCATTCTATGTGGCAACGGGTTGCTCGCATAGAAAATGAATGGAATGAGAAGAATCCGTGGCGATTTGGGGATGAGTCGACCCTTTGATACTGTTCGATAATAGCGACCGTCAAGGGAGACGGCGAAAAACCTCAAAATTGGCTACGGTCAAATTTCTGTGCAGACCCAAAGAAGAGTCCAGAAGATGCGAAATTCTGAAGAAGATCCGATCCGGGATTCGTTGTCTTTCTTTTTTTTTTCTTTTTTTTGGATGGATTGAATCCTGGATCACTGGATGGAATCTGGACCCAAATCTAAATCTCTAGGTCGAGGCCGGTTTGATCTAGATCTCTGGAATGAATCTGGAATTGTTCTAGATCTCTGGAGCGAATCCGGTAGTGTGCCCAAGACCATACAGGATGCCTCAAAATTATCCGGACAACTTTTTCGAGTAGTTATCGCTTGGCTTAATTTCTTTCAAAGTGTCCAGTGTTATATAGAGAATTATGGCCCTGAATCATAGCTACATTTATGTACTAAAAACTTGTCAATCGGATGGATACAGCTTATTTAACAAGTCTTTGAATGAGCACTAGTCGATTCCTACCCAACGCGCTGCCATTTCTAACGATTTTCTAAATAAAAATTTGGATTTAAAAAGAACAATCCAGTAAAAATTTGTGTGGATTTTGTTTAAAAAATGATTTCCAACAATTTCATAGCATAAAAACTAATATAACCGAGATACTAAATGTCGGAAAATGGTCAGATTTCACCTTCTTTTCCCCTGCGTCTTCAAAAAAGATAGTCAGCAGCATGATTTTGGTTATAAAGAATTAACCAAAACAGTTAAAAGTTATCTTTAATGAGTGTTAAATAATATTTTTGCATAAAAGAAATTAACAAAAACTTTTTCGAACAATTTTTTATGTAAAAAAAACGTCAAAAATGGCAGCAATCGATCGGGATCGACTAGCGCTCGTTCAAAGACTTGTTAAATAAGTTGTATGAGTCCGATTGACAAGTTTTGAGTAGATAAATGTAGCTAAGATTGAAATTCTACAATTCTCTATATAACGCTTGAGACTTTGAAATAAATTAAGCCTGTGAAAACTGCTTTGCTAAAAAGTTGTCTGGATAATTTTGAGACTCTGTAGTGTTGATCAACGCTTTTAAGTTCTAAAGAGTGTCGAAGAATTTCACTATATTCAAAGTAATCGCGTGTTCGGAAGCATTGAATCGACGCCTGTGAGGACATATAAAACGTGGAAACGATTTGATTAGCGAAAGCCCCACTCCACGGATAGTGGATCACACAAGGACATTGAGTACTGGAAAAAACGATTTGATTCGAAATGTAGATCTGGACCCAAAGCTAGCTTGAACTCAAAGAAAAACTCTTTCAAAACAGAACCCACGGTGTCACCTCGTCTCCGTCAAAGCCAAAGAAACGGCTCAACAAAGTAGATCTCCGCGAGTCCCCTCAACGAGCGAAGCGTGACATTACCAGAGGGAGAAATGCTCTCGCCGTTCCTCCGATTCGATCATTTCCCTTCACCACAACGAAAGCAAGAACATTTAGATAGAAAATCATTTGACCAAACTGTAAGTTGAAGTAATTCTTCTTTAATCGAAAGCCTTACCAAGACTCTCCACAAAAGCTGACGAGTAGATCGTACTCGGAGAAGTGATGGCATTTCGACGTTCACCGACCCTCGTCCACCAATAGAAATACTTTCTTGGTCGACGTCCGCTCGGGATTTCGCGTTCGAAATCGCAGATCGATCCACAGAACATTGTAGTTGGCCATCGCTGAATGAATCACTTCTGAGTTTCCGAGGCTTTTCTAGGAGGGACAAAAATGATTTGAGATCAACAAAGAAGCACGATATCCAAAATTTTGAGTGTCTAAATAGCTAAAAGATAGAAGGAAAAGGAAAAAAAGAAGCCTTTTAGTCATAGAGGCTTGACGGGACTTTTGTTGCATTTCATATAGCTTCATTCAAGGTTTTATTATTTAAGAGCCGAATCCTGAGAAAACTAATGACTCTGGAAATGTTCTAGAATTCTGGAAATGGCGAAAGATGACTCGTTCGAAAAAAGAAACTACGGCAAAGTGGTCTCAGGGAAGTCAGAAAGCCAGGGGTGAGTCACTAGGTTACGTTAAGCAGCCTTGAGAACTATCAATTATCGAAAAAGAGTTTTTGTTCGTTCTTTTTGTGCTTTACCCATTAATTACAGAGAGGAACGTGAACCGCTGACCACTTATTTATGGCTGTTATAAACCTCTTAGAGAGGAAGTACAGGGTCCGAGGAAAAGTATTGTCGTGCCTCTTCGAACTCCAACTCTTATGCGATTTAAAGTATCCTTTTACGTTGTGTAAAAAATGAGTTTCATTCAGTTTTTTCCTCTTTAGAATGGTGCATAGCATTCAATGTGTATCTTTTAGAAATGCAAGCTTGCCCTCATCAGAGAAGCGACCACTGTTGCTTTAAAGCCGGAGGTTGAAGGAGGCCATCTCGCGAAAGCTCAAAGCCAACATCAGGACTTTTCAACGACTTGCCTTACATTTGCAGAGAAAGGACACGTAAAGAAGAAGCGAAAAAAGGAAGACCTCGATAGGTGAACATCCGGAACTCATCAAACAGCGAATTGACCGAAACGACGGGGCGAAGCTTAGAAAAAATAGCCAGGGAGCTGAAAATCTCAGTATTGGTCGGCTCGGAACATTGTGAAAAAGGAGCTAGGATTTCGTAGTTATCGTCTGCGACAAGATTAGTTTCTTACCGATGATACGAAATTCAATCGAGTTCAAAAAGCTAAGCGGTTTCTTTGTTTTTTTAAGATTGTACGCATCGAGGGCGTCTTGATGGTCAGATTGAGAAAATTTTTACCATTGAAGTGGCCCATGATTCCCAAAACCATCGTCAACTGATGTCACCGGCCCAGAAGAACACTTTGAAGCGCGAAAATCCGGACACTGGGTCTTTTTCTAAAGTTGATGGTTTGGGGGAGGGAGTGAGTGCGGATTCGGAGACTCAACTTTGTTTCATCGACAAGAGTGTCCAAAATCAATGCCCAGGTTTACCAAGATCAGTTTCTCAAGAATGCTATGATCCTAGGGTCAGAAAAAACCCTAACATGACCTTCCAGCGGGACTGGGCTCCAGCCCCATGGAGTAGAAAACCACAATGGACTTGATTCGGCGCCAATTGCCCTCTCATTTCACGAAGAAGATTGGCCCAGCAACTCGCCGGACCTCAACCTTTGGATTTTTCAGTATGGGGTTCTTAGAGGAACGTTTGAGGCATAAGAAAATCACAAATCTTGGTGAGCTCGAGGGGGAATTGATCGCTGCCTGGAACGATATTGATGCCAGCTACACCTCCCGTGCCACACGATAGGCTCGGTGATCACGCGTCCTGAAAGCCTGTATCAAAGCCAAGAGTCCAATTTCCGAACACTTGTTATAAATTTGAATTTTTGGTTATTTATCTGTTATTTTTTTCAATATAATATGTTAAAAGCTCAAATTTGAAAAAAGGTATGATGGTTGGAAAAACGTCGATAGCTTTTCTCCGGACCCTGTATGGTCGTAGCTCAATCGTAAATTTTTCGCTCGAAAAGCGAACGGTTCCGGGTTCATTCCCTTTGAGAGCTTATGGCAAAACATTTGAAAGACAAATTAGTACGTTGGTTACATTGGGTTTTTCAAAGCAATCGATTTCTGAATAAATTATGAGTGCGATAGCGATTACTTCACTCGACATTGCTAATTCTTTCGGCAACACGTGTGCGGTTCGTGATTTCCGAAGACGCACTCGGTGAGCGAGAGATTTCTACAAGCTTCTTTTGTTAAAAATGATATATATTGTTAAGCTGAATTCCAGATTTGGTTATTTTTTTCCTTACAGGACTTTCAAAAATAAGCTGAAGCTCTTACAGAAATGAGGAAGAAACTACGGCGAAGAAACTACTCACCGAGCACTTGACCCCACGATCGGTGGGTCTTTTCGAGGCCCGCGATTATGATTGTCCGATTGTCAATCGTTGACCACTTTTACAGAACTTGTTTCCTTTTTAAAAATTTTAATTCAAACTTTTCAACTGTATTCCGAGGTGGTCAAGAATCGCTCTAGGAAGAGCTTTGCTGAACAGGTTTCAATGTAAAAGTTGGCTGTGAAAAGTTTATCGTTTTCTCCTAGTTTCTCAAGTGTTCACTTTTTTCAATTTTAGTTTTATCACTTTACAATTCATTCGATTTCTGCTTAATTCCAAATCATTTTTAAGAGGTTTTATTTGGTGAAGGCGATAGAAATGAAAGTAAACTTTGGTTTCACTTCGGAAACAATTTGATTCGATTCGATTCGAGGGCCATTTCTAGTAAATACTCTAGAGATTGCACTATGCATAGAGTTTTGGCATTTTATTAAAGAAAATGTGAGCTCAGATTTCGGTGCTATATACCGTATTTTCTCTTATACATGGTAGTTGCACCCTGAGCGTTGCCCTAAATTGCTCGAAATCTCGAGAACCGTTTATCAGAACCTATCGATGTGGGGTCGGAAAATGTAGCTGACGATGAGATCTTGTGAGGATTTGAGTGTTGAGCTTCTGTGGAAACTTACAAACCGTAAAATAGTCATCAACTCGGCTCGGCTTGGTGACTACTATTAGAGAGAATACGATAGTTTAATGGAGGCCACTTTACATTAACACATTACTTTTTCCCTTTGGTACTATTTTTTTCGACAAGGGCCTCTGTAGAATCAGAAAGTTGTGCAATTAAAATCATTTTCATGTAAATACAGCCCCATTTCTGACTCTAGAATTAGGGATTTCTTTTGTTCCATCAGATCGAAAGTGCATTCAATTTGTGAAACTCTAGCCATTCTTTTAAGGAGTTTTATTTGTCACAAATCTTGCCATAAAAACTTCATCTTATTCACGGAAAAGTGGTTGACGTTGACCGCGTCGAAATGTCTAATTATATTCCGATCACAGATCACATCTAGAACAAACAAAGCTCTCCTTTCAATTTTTTTCGCTCTTTCAGGCTCCCAGTGTCTGTTCCCTTTCACCTTTTTCCTTTATTGGCGAAAATATGTTTCTCGGGGATAAGTATTTTCTGAATGAAAAGAGTCTTGAGCTCAAAAATAAAGTTTATTCAAAAACAGTGAGCCTATCAAGTTTTCTTTGTTATAAAACAAGTTGAGAGCTTGTAGGTTCAATGAGTATTTTTATTTACGTTTATGTAGCATTTGAAAACTAAGAGATGAATTCAGAAAAACAGTTGACCACTTAACAAATCTGTTTGACAAGATTGACAGTTACCGTATTCTCTCTAATAGTAGTGCGCACTACTATTTTTTTCAACCCCTCCTGGACCGCAATACTATTAAAGAGTGCACTACTATTAGAGAGAATACAGTATATGAAATTTCAGAGGATAAATTTGATTTGATGAATGTTAGCAACAAGAAAACTCAAGGCCCTGCTCTCTACTTTTTAAGTGAAATAGCTCAAAATTGAAAGGCAAAACGTTTTATTTAAAATCAATTGTCGATAGAACGACCGCCAAATGTTGATTCTTTTGTGAAAACTTGAGAATTTTGTAGAGAATCGATAGCTTCTTCAGCTTTTCCGAGAACAAAATCTCGATACAATTCACTCAAAGCAATCAAGGCGATTGAAGCAAATGTCCCTGTCCAAGTAGACTGAAAAAGAAATTGTTTAAAGCTAAAGCTAAAAAGCTGAAAGGCCAAATTTGAACGTTTTGAAAGTTTTTGTCATACGTTGCTTGATATTCTCGGAATGGATCGTCAAAAAACAATTTCAAAATAACTAACCGATATCAATAACCCTTTTAAGTTTTTAAAATACAAAACTTTCAAACCATGCTCTTACACCTTCTCATCTTCTGAATTCAGCCGAAATCTGTGAAGTTGTGGTGAAGGGGAATGATTGTGCATATCTGAGGTGAGTGCATATCTCCTTTGCAATAAGGACATGGGTAATGCTCAACCAAAGCCTTGATGGCTTAGGTAATCGAAAAGCTGTCTAAATTCAACTACTCACCTTTCGAATGCTTTTAACTGCCTTTTCTTGTGCCGATCTTTTTGCGATAAAGAGTTGCAGCACCCGGGGAACTCGCTTGTCAATAAAAAATCTGATAAACACTCGTAGTCAGCACGAAAAGCTAAACAAATAATCAATATTGGCTTGATCGACCGTTTCAAATCTTCTTTTCTTAAGCTTTCCTGGAATGATCACTGAAAATAGCAACGAGGAAATCATTGGCATCGGCTCATGTACAGGAAAAGTGCGCGTGAGTGAACTGTGAGTTGTTGACTTTAAATAGACCGGTTTATGTCTGACTTCTACACAATTAACTGAAGACTTCTTTTAAACTGTACTTAACATTTTTGCAAGTAACATTGTTAGAAGACCTCTAAAATTGTTGAGGACTTTAAAGCTAAAACTTTGAATAACTTTTCCAAGCGCTCATTTCAGAAAAGTGGCTGAGAAGTATTTGCAAGCAAACTCCTCACGAGGAAGAAATATTCAGACAAGAGTGGAGAATATTGAGGAAACTCTCTAATCCGAACATTGTCCGATATTATAAGCACAAGAAAACAGAACATGGCTTGTTTGTGATCATAATGGAGCTCTGCGAGAGGGGCTCTCTACGGAAAGGTACGATTGTAATTAAACAGAATTAAACAGATGAACAGATCCCAAGTTGTGATGAAATTCTAAAATGTTGGTTGAATGGCTTTTGTAGCCGGGTACTCTA